GGGGGAGGGGGGGGGGAGAGACGTGAAACTCGAAGAGGCCGAGCGCGTAGGGCGTCTCGTGCGTCGTGTCGAGCACGTCCGCAGGGCCGGAGAGGAGGACCTGGAGAGCGCACGCCCATCCCTTGACTCACTTGAATGAATGAATTCGTTAACGTGAGTCGAACGGAGTGAATCGACTCGTTGAATCGAGCACGCCCATTCTGAAGTGAGTGCATTCACACCCCATTCCTTCATGCAACTCATTGAAGCGCCTTGAGCACGTCCATCCTCAAACCACTTAATGAGTTAATTCATCAATGGACTTCATTGAAGCGCCTTCAGCACGTCCATCCTCAACCCAGCTCCATGCATTAACACTCCATTACTTACTTAATGCAACTTCATTGAAGCGCCTTCAGCACGTCCATCCGGCTCTCATCCTTGAGCACGACGATGCACGACTCGGCGCCTACTCTCGCCGCGTCTCGGCTCATCTCGGCCCGTCTCCCCCTCGACCTCTCCAGGCAAGCCGTGTCCGCGCCGCACGGCAAGTTGCCCTCGCCCGACAGCGACTTGCACTCCTGCAGCAGCCGCTTCACCTTGCTGCGCGCCGCGGCCTCAAAGGGCGACTGCGCGATGTTCTGGCGGTAGTAGTGGTTGTACCGCCCCGCGCCGTCCGCCATGCCAACTTCGTCGAAGGAAAGCTCGGCCAGCTCCGCGCCGTACGCCTCGTTGACCGTTCGCAGCATCGCGGCGGCGCCGCCGTACTCCTCCTCGGCCGCCGCGGCGTCGGCGGCGGCGCGCTCGCTCACCAAAGAGGAAAGGCCGCCGCCCGGCCCGCCCTCGCCCCCGCCCCCGCCTCCCTGCTGCAGGCGGGGGAGGAGGCGGCGGAGGGCCTGCACCTCCAGCGGCGGGAAGTGGTCCTTGCACTTGTGCTCGAGGATGTCGGCCGCCTGGAGAACCAGTTGACTGATCAACGAGTGGGCTACTCAACGATTGAACGCGTGCTCGAGGATGTTGGCCGCCGTGTGCAGGAGGGGCACGTCGAGGTTGTCGCAAGCGGCGAGCGTGTGCACGAAGGCGGGCACGCGCGAGGCGGCGTGGAGCAAGAGCTGCGCCGTGTCGGAGAGCATCTTCTTCGGGTGCCTATGCAAAAAAGAAATGCCGCTCCGGAAAAAGAAATACGGCCGGGTGTCGGAGAGCATCTTCTTCGAGTGCCTATGCAAAAAAGAAATGCCGCTCCGGAAAAAGAAATACGGCCGCGTGTCGGAGCGCATCTTCTTCGGGTGCCAGCCCAGCTTGTCGGGCTGGTCGACGCGCAGCCCCTCCCGCGCCTTGACGTCGCAGAGCTTGCGCAGGAACTCGACCAGCATCGCCGCGAGCTTGGAGGCGCGGGACGGGTGGGAGGCAAAGGCGGAGCAGACGCCCGCCTCGTCGGTGAGGAAGAGGAGGGCCGCCAGCGACGAGTGGGCGAGCTGGAGGAAGCCCTTGGCGGTGCGGCGGCACTGCTCGAGGCGAGCCTCGCGCGCCTGCCTCTCCTTCCCGCTCAGCGCCGCCCACGCCGCCTCCTTCTCCTTGTCGGCGGCAGAGGCCGGCGGCGGGGCCGGCAGCGACGCCGCCTTGTCCCCGCGACGCACCGAGGCTGGCATCTCCTCCTGCCTCGTGTGCACGTCCGCCAGCCGGCCGAGCGCATCCGCCAGCAGAAAGACCGCCTCCTTGACCAGCGTCTCTGCAAACTCTCCAAACGCCGCGCCGCCGTCGCCGCCACCGCCCGGCTCGAGCGAGGCGGCCGCGGCGGCCTGCAGCGCCCTCCACGGCTGCGGCTGCTGCCACAGCGCGCGCAGCACGCTCATGATGCGGAAGCGGTCGCCGTTCTTGTCGGAGACGGCCGCCGCGTTTGTGTGCAGCCCAAGCTCGACGTAGAGGGAGAGCAGGGGCAGCTGCACCTCCGACGCCGCCTCGGCGTCGATCAGCCTGACAAGCGGCCCCGCCACGCCGCGCAGCCGCGAGCCGGCCAGCCGCGCCGCGTGCTCGTCCATCTGCACGAGCGTCTCGAGCAGCTCGGCGGCGGTGAAGCGGACGAAGGGCGAGGAGGCGAGGGCCTGGAGTTGCGGAGAGCTCGCCGCGTCAAGACGGGACAGCCAAGGGCGGGCGGTGTGGGCGCGTCCGATTTCTTGTTTCCTGCCGGCCGACCCAGCGGCACGCGCAGCGCGAGACGAGGGGCGCCGCAACCTCCGAAGCAACGAGAGCCTGGGGGTCCTTGCGCGCGAACAGCACGAGGAGCGCAAACAAGTCGGTCAGCGTCGAGGCGGGCAGGGCGGCGCACGCGTCGGCCGCCGCCGCGCTGTCGGCGCAGAGATGCTCGAGCCACGCGCCTTTTCACAGCAGTGGGTGTGAAGAGACGCTGCTCACACCTCTCGCCAGAGATGCTCGAGCCCCGCGCCTTTTCACAGCAGTGGGTGTGAAGAGACGCTGCTCACACCTCTCGCCAGAGATGCTCGAGCCCCGCGCCGGCGAGGCCGCAGAAGCGGAGGAGGAGGGGCTGCAGCCGCGGGCCGTCGAGCAGCAGCCGGTACGCCAGCACCGCCGCCTGCGCCTTGCCCTGCCCAGCCTCCTTGATCGCGTGCAAGTGTGCGTCGAAGGCCGCCGCACCGCCCTCGGGAGGGGGGGCGCGCACCTTGCGAGATATGGCGGAGATGTGGGGGAGATATGGGAGATAGCCCTCGGGCGGAGGAGCGCGCACCTTGCGAGATATGGCGGAGATGTGGGGGGAGATATGGGAGATAGCCCTCGGGCGGAGGAGCGCGCACCTTGCGAGATATGGCGGAGATGTGGGGGGAGATATGGGAGATAGCCCTCGGGCGGAGGAGCGCGCACCTTGCGAGATATGGCGGAGATGTGGGGGGAGATATGGGAGATAGCCCTGGGGAGGAGGAGCGCGCACCTTGCGAGATATGGCGGAGATGTGGGGGGAGATATGGGAGATAGCCCTGGGGAGGAGGAGCGCGCACCTTGCGAGATATGGCGGAGATGTGGGGGAGATATGGGAGATAGCCCTCGGGCGGAGGAGCGCGCACCTTGCGAGATATGGCGGAGATGTGGGGGGAGATATGGGAGATAGCCCTGGGGAGGAGGAGCGCGCACCTTGCGAGATATGGCGGAGATGTGGGGGGAGATATGGGAGATAGCCCTGGGGCGGAGGAGCGCGCACCTTGCGCTGCAGCTCGAGGAGGATCCGCTCGCAGCGGCGCATGGCGGGGAGGACGCCTATGAGAAAAGAAGGACCGCTGGAAGAAAAGAAATACGGCCGGCTCCTCGCATGGCGGGGAGGACGCCTATGAGAAAAGAAGTACCGCTGGAAGAAAAGAAATACGGGCGGCTCCTCGCATGGCGGGGAGGACGCCTATGAGAAAAGAAGTACGGCTGGAAGAAAAGAAATACGGCCGGCTCCTCGCATGGCGGGGAGGACGCCTATGAGAAAAGAAGTGCCGCTGGAAGAAAAGAAATACGGCCGGCTCCTCGCATGGCGGGGAGGACGCCGACGTGCAGCGCGCGCAGGCAGAGGAAGAAGCACTCCGTGACAAAGTGCAGCTCCGCCTAATACACGAACGAACGAATTAACGACTCAGCTAATTCACTCCGTCACAAAGTGCAGCTCCGCCTCGGCGTCGCCGCCGCCCGCCGCGACCCCCTCCGCCGACCCACCCGCAGCGCCAGCCGGCGGTGGGGTGTTCGGGGGGGGAGCGGGCTCGGCGGCGGCGTCGCTGCTCGAGAGGAGGGAGAGCTTGATCGCCTGCGCTGAATGAAGGACTTGAATTGACGCATCCACTAGTTGATTGGTCAGAGGGAGAGCTTGATCGCCTGCGCTGAATGAAGGACTTGAATTGACGCATCCACTAGTTGATGCAAGAGGGAGAGCTTGATCGCCTGCGCTGAATGAAGGACTTGAAGTGACGCATCCACTAGTTGATTGGTCAGAGGGAGAGCTTGATCGCCTGCGCTGAATGAAGGACTTGAAGTGACGCATCCACTAGTTGATTGGTCAGAGGGAGAGCTTGATCGGCCTGCGCCAGCTCGTCCGCCTCCTCGTTGGACTCCTCGAACCCTCCCGACCCACCCGCGCCCGCTCCGCCGCCGCCAGAAGGGTCGCCGCCAGCTTCGGTGAGCCTGAGGCGCTCCTCGGCTTGCGGCCGGCGGCGGCGCGCCGACCACGCCGCCTCGCGCCGCCGCTCTCGCTCGTGCCACCTCGAGATATGGGGAGATATGGGGAGATATGGGGAGATATGGGGAGATATGGGGAGATATGGGGAGATATGGGCCGCTCTCGGTCGTGCCATCTCCAATCGAGCTCTTCATACTTGGTTCATTCGTTCGTCCGTTCACTCGTTCATTAAGACGCGCCACCTCCAATCGAGCCGCGCGAAGCCGTCATGCCCCTTGCCGTCGCGGAGAGCCGTCGGGGTGAGGAAGGGGCCGCACAGCTGCAGCAGCACCGCCGCCGCGCTAAGCAGCGCCCCGTCCGACGAGCAGCTCTGCCGCGCCTAATCAACTCATCAGCGGATATGAACGAGTTGACTCATTCCCCCGCCCGACGCGCCGCTCTGCCGCGCCCGCATCGCCTCTTGAGGGCTCTGCTGCTTCCCCCCGTCTGCGTTCGCGCCGTTGGCCGCGAGCACAGCGCCCAGCCAGCGCAGCGCGGCCGCCTTGGCTGCCGGGTCCTTGAAGAGCGCCGCCGTGAGGATGACCCGCTGCCTGCATGGACATGTCTAACAGACCAGTCACGGACCCGCCCTTGTGTAGAGGGGAGTAGGCGCCACGAGGTGGTCTGCTGCCGGCTCTGCAGCTGCCACACCTCCTCCCACCCGCCCTCGAGCACGGCGCGGTCCTAATTAAACGAATTCACTGATTCGCTGAGCACTGATCAACTAATTCACCCCGCCCGCCCTCGGGCACGGCGCGCTCCTCGTGATGCCACCCTCCCCCGCCAGGGGCAGGCGCCGCCATCCCGTACCTTGACCAAGGAATCCGTCCACCGTTAGTACGCTGAGTGGCGAATTCGTTTCTCCGGCGCTGCCATCCCGCGCACCTTAATCAATCAGTTCAGAACCAGTCAGCCATCACCAGCCTGACCCCGGGGCCGGGCAGGCGCCAACCCCGCGCACCCCGTCAGCCCAGCCGGCGAGGGGCTGAGCAGGCGCAGCACTCCGAGCCCCTCTGCCTCCCGGCCAGTCCACTCGCCAGAGCGGAGCCTGCCGCTCTCCTAGAGGCCAGGTCAGGCTCCCGTCTCCACACACACACACGAGGTGGCGGGGCAAAGGGCCGGGCTGCTCCCTCGCGACTCGACGTCTGGACGACAGGAGCCGGCACGGCATTCAAAGTGCAAGGCCAAGTGCGCGTGGGTGAGCGGTGTGTGTGTGTGTGTGTGTGTGTGTGTGTGTGTGCGTGTGTGTGTGTGTGTGTGTGTGTGTGTGTGTGTGTGTGTGTGTGTGTGTGTGTGTGTGTGTGTGTGTGTGTGTGTGTGTGTGTGTGTGTGTGTGTGTGTGTGTGTGTGTGTGTGTGTGTGTGTGTGTGTGTGTGTGTGTGTGTGTGTGTGTGTGTGTGTGTGTGTGTGTGTGTGTGTGTGTGTGCTGTGTGAGTCTGTCCGCACTCCTCGTCAAGCCGCCGCACGAGCACCGCGCGGGCGGCAACGCCGTGCGGAAGCGGCTTGAGCGGCCCGCCACCCGCCGCCGCGCCGAGGCCGAGAAGCAGCTCCGCCTCTGCCAGCACCGCCCGCCACCCGCCGCCGCCGCCGCCCGAGGAGGAGGAGGAGGACGGGGAGAAAGAGACGTCGACCACAGCGCCGCCCGAGTACGGGTCGAGCCGGCGGAGCAGGGACTCGAGTGCGGGGCCGTATACGCTCTCCTGCTCCGCCAGCGAGAGCGACGTGGCGACGGCGGTCACAAACGGCGCCGCCGCCGCCGAAGCCTTGAGCAAGCCGACGAGGTCGCTCTCTCCAGAGTCGCCGTAGAGGGAGAGCCCATCCTCCTCAGCGGCCCCCGAGAGGAGGGCCTGCCTCGCGTGGTGCAGCGCGACCTCGCACCCGAACGCCGCCGCCGCCGCCGCGCTCGCCTGCTGCAGCTGCGGCTGCTGACGCTCCCAGCAGAGTATTATATTATATTATATTATATTATATTATATTATATTATATTATATTCGCCTGCTGCAGCTGCGGCTGCTGACGCTCCCAGCAGTGCTGCAGGTAGCGCAGGCCGCGCTCGTCCCCGTGCGCGTACGACTGGGTTCGGTCCCGCACCTGAGGCAGGGGGAGATGGGGGGAGATAGGACGGAGATACGGCTCCTGAGGGGCGAAGGAAGGCCGCGGACGTGTGCGTCGCGGACGTGCCACCCGGCGGGCCCGCACCTTCCCTCCGTTTAATTGACCCCACCCCCGTAATAAAATCTCCGTTGCCCACTCGAAAATGTTCCTACTGCAGAATGTCTTTTTTTGCTTCGCCTTTGACTCCTCAACCGTGCACCAAGCCATTCCTTTGATTACCCCTTAATCTCCCCTGTTATTTCCATCTTTGCGTGGGCTTTTAGTTCCCCCGGGCCCTAGG